CCTTTAGAGCCTTTGGGACACCCTGTACATTACAAAAATATTTTTTAAATGTGCGCTCGGTAGGCGTCGGACAATTCATAAAATAATACTTTTTATAAATCAAACGGTTTAGCCGCAAACTTCCGTGCCGTATAGCGTGAATAACCCTGTATATTATATCACAATTTTACAAATTCTGTTGTTCTTTACCTACGCTTTATACCTGTCATCATCAGCATCATCAAACAGCCATTTGTGTCTACTGATCAGCAAAGGCCTCCTCAAGACGTTTGAACTTATTATTTGCTTCTAGGGTACGATTTGGGTAATTATTTGATGTCATCTGTCCAGCAGGACAGCGGTCTACCTCTACTCCTCCTATTTTGGTCTACACTCCAAAAACTTTTTCGTTCTTCTGCCATCGTACCTACGGGCCACATGGCCGGCCCATTATATAGTCAATTATGTCCTAGACTCCGGATCGTTGGCGGACAGTCTTTTGGCGTCCATCTCGTCTTGTGATGCCAAGCATAGCTCCTTCCATTGATCTTTGTGCCATCCGCAACTTGTGAATCGATTCCTTCGTCAGTGTGAACGTTTCTGCGACATAGGTTTTTACAGGAAGACACATTGTTCGTAAACTTTGTTCGTGAGCTTTGTTCGTGAGGAAAATCGGGATATTACTTTTGAAAATTTGTTGACGTTTTCCACATGCAGCCCTCCTCAAGCCTCTTCTCCGTTGTATCTCGCAAGGTTGATTATCTCTATCTAGTCTGATTTTACGACCCAAGCATTTATAATAACTATGAGTTAAATGATAATAATTTTAATAATCAAATTATAGAGTGTGTGAATTAGAAGTAAAGATGGCAATTTTTCTTTTCGAATGTTTCCATATTGAAATAATATTATTATTAATTGAAATCATTTAATAATCAGGCGGATATTCGATTTTTAACTGCTAATATATTCTGGAAATTTTCGAAAATACAATAGTTTTCATAATCTTTCTCGTACTCTCATATAACATGAGCCCCTATAACCCCTTTGGTTGAAAAAACTGAGTTTAGCTCCGATTACTTTTTTACCTGACCCTTTTTATTTACCCTGAAAATGATAGATTAAATAATTTTAGAGAAACTTTTGCATGTAATATGTTTCAATATCTTTCGGCACTAAGGAAAGAAATATAAGGTCATTTTAAAAATTTTTTTACTGTGATATTTATCTCTGAGGCGAACAGAAATACGCCAATCTTGAGTTTCACACGTTAAGTTTGATCTAAAAGGAGCACATGCTATTTTTTTATTTCTAACTATTACGGAGATACCCTATAAAAGTATCGAAAATCGGACAATATGTACATTTCTTTCTGCTTACTACCATACTAACAGCAATAAACTCCATCCGCACCCATACCAATAACATTCTTTTCACGGTATGAGTTCACAGGGATATTATACATAAAAGTTGTTAAAATTCTTTGTACATCAAAACATTGAAAATATTTTTTGCTCGCAAATTGTTTTAACTTTCCTAGATGACACGTAAACACCGGATAAGAAAACACAACAAAATTGAAAAAACGTGACTCAAAAAGCATAAATGTATTTTAAAAAAGAACAAAAAATGGAAAAAAAAATATAAAAAAGCATAAAAATATTATTAAAAAGCACAAAATTAAAAAAAAGCATTTGAAAAAAAAATTAAAACAAGTTGTAATAATAATATACTAATATTTTTATTTATTATTTTACATTTAACACGTTCTATTTATTTTCAATATTCTTATTTACTATTAACAATGTTTAAAAGAAAATATAACTAAATGTTTCTCCAAATTTTCCGTGGTAAAATTATGTCTTTCTCCTGTCTGATAAAATGCTTTTGTATGCAGAAAAACTTCGATCTACACCTACACTGGTTATAGGTGCATATTTAAATTTTGGTATAATTGCTGGATCTATTTTAAAATCGAAATTTGACGAACCATTCAAAATAGTTGATGCTTTTTGCAATGTTTGGAACCCTGTATTCTTTGAAAGAGTCTGCACCAACTTTTCTTTTATTATTTGACCGATAGATCCTGGAATACTAGTGGCTGCAGCTTGAAATTTTTTAATAATCTTTATGGATTCCACTAAAGGCAGCTGCTGTTTTTCTCAAAAATTGAATGCTTTGACTTACAAATTTAAAATGAGTTTTGATAAAAGCCAAATTATGCGCAAGTTCGGGTACTTCTAAAACTTCCTGTCATTTTTGAATTGCTTTGCTGTACCTCGAAATTCAAGTATCAAGCTTTTAAATTCGTTCAAATTATTGGCATAGTACAAGGCAGTATCTAGCCAAGTTCCCCACCGTGTTAAAATAGGTTCTGGGGGTAAAGGAATATCAGGACGCCTTCCTTCGTTGCAATGCATTAACTTAAAGGAAAAAAAATTAAGATTTGATGCAATCATGTATGCTGCTGCGACGGAAAGCATCAATATAATTTTTTAATTTGGAACCACCTCGGGCAAAAAAAACTTGTTTAACTCTTCATGTACAAATCTAGAAATAGTTTTACTGTTCGTTTTTGTCAGTTCCTTCGAACTTATTAAAAATCCTGCTGTGACAATATCTTCATTCAAGACTCCTATAATCAAGTTGTCTATATATCTCCCATATGCGGCAGTTGTTTCATCTACAGTAAACCATATATAATTATTTGCGATAATTTTTTTAATTTGCTGCATTGTTTCATCATAAACTGGGCTGACATAATCTGGACTGCTTTCTTACAATATTTTTCTAGAAATTGTTTAAACGGACTACTTTGTAATTTATTCAAAGGAATGTCTGATTTGACCATAGCACTGCACAAATCAAAATGAAATCGTTTTTGTCCATTAAAATGAGAATTTGAAGCTAGTGAAGTCAAAATAGTTTGTTGCTTAGTTTGATTTTCCTCATATTTTTTAATGTGCTCCTTATGCCGTTCGGTTTGTAAATGCTGAGTTACGTCATATTTTTTTACAAACAATCTGCAATAAAATAAGAAAGTATTATCTACTCCTATTTTAAAATTAATTAAAACCTATTTTTTATATTGTATCTTAAAGTCGTTTAACTAATGTCAAAAAGGAAATCTTTTAAGAGTAAAAAAATTCGGAAAAATAAAATTATATTTTAAACAGGAAATAAAGACGAGATTAAGAATTTGCGAATTTTTACTTGGAGACCAGAGCAGCTCGTCGTAACTAACTAAATAACAGAAGTCTTGGCGTAGCGCAAGCCTAGCTTTGGGGAATTACGTACGTGCGAACGGATTTTTCGGGAAATCACGCAACGCCTTGCAAAGCTGCCAAATTTACTTTATATGGACATTTATTCCCGTATAATGTTTTGTACTATTTTTAAAATGATTTAAATATGCGGAATAAGTTAAAATAAGCACGAACGGACAAAAAAGCATGAAAACTTAAAAAGCGTTATAAAAGCTATCACAATATACTTAGTTTGGTTTAATTCGATTAGAAATTAAATAATCTTATGGTTGCTTGCAAAATTCAGCGATAAGCAAAATGCTTAAAATCCGGTCTTTAGTGATAAGCACTTATTGATTTGAGCAATTGGTATTTGATGTCGTTTTCGTTACTTCAAAATATTATGCCAGTAAGATTGGAACCTCGGGCTCATGGTGCAAAATTTATATTGCGGTAGATTCTAATCGGTTGATACTCACAGTCATTTAACCTAAGGATCTGGTAATAAAAGAATAAAATAGTTGCAAAAATGTCTTCCATTGAGATTAAATTTGTGTGTCGGTGGAGAACCATAAGCGAGTAACGGCACCAGCCGCGATCAAAGATTACTGGTTATATAGCACCGCCGTATTTCTAGTCCAACTATCAACATAAAGCACCCAGAATATCACATTGCATTGTCTTTGGTGCAACTGACATGCAGAGTTATCATTTTTCTGCGTTACCATCGGTTTTACAGTCCACTATTTTGAATTATAACTGCGTGGGTATACTGTATTTGACACTCCGAATAAAGCTATATTCTATGGCCAGATGTTTCCTTAGAATTACATTTTGCTGATATGATGAGCCTAAAATACAGAAATTCCTTTTCTGAATAATTACATTACGTCAATGTTACCTATTCAAAATCATGTTGTGTGTAAGCTATAGATCCTCATCCATCGTCATTTTCATCTATGGCTCACATAAAGGCTATGAGCATTTGTGATAAATTACAGTTGGTTGCTGGCTTGCCTGCTTTTGACTGGCTGTGGCTCCTAGGCAAGTGCCAGCTCCATTTTGGGCCAAATTTGTCAGGTTCTAAGCCATTCCTGGACTGTTCTTCTTATCTTTATCTTTATCGGACGTCAGTTAACTGACGTTTATTTGCGGTTATATTAACGTCACATTCACAGATACAATGACGTCAATTGCTGAGTTCTTTTTTTTTGTAATTTTGTGGAAATCCACTGCGTGGCTCCCTTGCGCACACCCAGAGCTGATGAGCTGGAGCTCTGGGCTCTGTGGCACTCCAGCCCACCAGCTCCATCAGCAGTTTACCCACTAAAACCCTTCTAAAACGCCTAGGAGGTGTTTGGCCTAGCACCGCGGTCATTTCTGTCCTATTGCGCCCTCGTATTTTACTTCCTTATTACTCCGATCCATCCCTGGCCACAGCTCGTCGACTTCCCTAGCAGGTGCCGCTTTATGAGTTCTCCTATATATGACCGCCGCTATGGCCATCTTAGTACCGGAAACCGCATCCTTGTATGACTTGTGTGTGGTTCCCTTACTGAAGGTCCCACACCCGCCCAGGTACTGGCTTGGTGGCTGTGCTGCCTTCCGACTGGTGTATCTTTTGCGTCCCTGTTGTACCAGCTTATTTTGGGGTGTGCTGGTTCCCCTGAGGGTCTACCTAGTACACGTTTGGTGGTTTTTCCGCCTGGCAGCCTCCGAGAGCTCTTCTGCGGAAGTCCCGCCGGTATTTTGTGGTGGTGTTTTTCTCCCCATCATTCCACCAGCAGCTAGGGAAGGGTTAAGTCCACCCACAGACAGCCCCGCATGTGTGGGTGATGCTGATACCATGAGGTGCGCCGGTTCTCTCAAGGTCAGTCGCTTTTGTATGGGCTTCTCCCAGCCTTGCATCTCTTCTCTCTCCCGTGACCTACCATTCAGATAATAAATTAATGACGTCAGTTGCTAGCGTGTTAATGACGTCAATTGCTGGCGTCGTAGTGACGTCAATTTCTGAATTCTTATTGACGTGATTTGCTGGCGTGTTAATGACGTCAGTTGTAAGCGTCCTATTGAGGTGATTTACTAACGTAAAGGCGTTACTTGGCGTCAATTGCTGAAGTCTTGTTGTCGTTATTTGTTGACGTCTTACTGACGTCAATTGCTGGCGGCTTAATGGTGTCAATTGTTGACGTCATTTGTTAACGTCGTATTGACGTGAACTTAGACCAAAAATATTACAGTTTTTGGCTTTTGCATTGGGCTTTATGTTCAATTTACAAAAACACTATTTCTATAGTTTAAATGTATTATGGAAAAAAATTAACACACATAATTAAAAATACGAAGCAGTGGAAACGTAGCAAATTTGGAAGGTGCACGATTTCCAAAAGACAAATTTGTTATTTTTGAATAGTAATTAACATTTCACGTTTTTCACAGAGTGGGCTCTTCCGAGATTGAGGTTGGCGACCCCAGCCCCTGCTTATAGCCTCTTGGTTAATATGCCATTGTTTAACAATCAGTCAGTAGGGTGCTATGCTCTATTATTGCCCTTATTAGTACTAAGCTTATCAATAATAATATTTGTCAAAGTTTCTAAATAATCAATTTCAATTACGTCATCTCCGGGTCAAATTTGTGAGATAACTTGTAAGGTCGATTATGACACGAAATATTACATCATGACCTCAGTGAACGCCAGCTTGTTGGGTAGGTTAAGTCGTCTCGTCAATCTATCTAGACGACCATCTTATAGATTCTCTCATCTTATAGATGGTATCAAAGTGACTGATAATTTCTTGAAAATATCAGACAATAGTAGATAGTAGTTTTTTTAACAATTTTGTGCTTGTGTTATCCACGTTGTTTAAGTGCTTGCATATTAATTGCTTAAAAGATAATTTGTTTGATATTTATTGGTGTGGGTACATTTTGATCGTCAAAAATGGAAGGTAAGGCTGTTTTTGAGTATTGCAATAAACATGTTTAGACAATACCAGATATGTAAAAGGAACACTTTTCCCATTCCCGTCATACTTCCAATTAACCAATTAAGAACTTACACGCGTTCATATCTTACTCAGAACTTACTCGCGCACAATCAAATGTATAAGCACAGAACAGTGTTTTTTACGGTCGTCTAATCTATCGTCTGCCATAAACGTTGGCCGCAGAAAACGGCCATGCGAAATTTAATTTGGTCCTTCGTTGGACGAAAATAAGTCTGTTAATGAAACAATCAATTTTACTGAAAGGCAATCCGTAGCGAACATCGAGCTATTGGATAGCACTGATCCCTTCATATAAAACAACATAGTTTTTATTTCAAGTCATATCATAGCTTATGTTCCGCATGTAGTCTGAAAAATAATATAGCAGAGTAATTTTGTCTAAGGATAATTAGACTTATAGTAAGTTGACGTGATTAATTAATAACAGCAGATTGATGAGTTTATGTTTTTTGCCTTGCTAGGTTTGTTTAGATTGGCGTCGCAGGGGTCTGGCAGCTGCTTACAGCGGATGCGTATGAGCATAAAAGGTTGAAAGAACCTTTCGTAATCACGTAGCATTTTTTGCATCATATAGGCAGAAGTAAATGAGTTTTGTGTTATAAGAAAATGTCATCTTTACTAATGACTAACAAAATGGACCGATGAAAATTATAATCACTTTAAACAAGTGTAGAAGGTTATTGTTTAACAATGTAATATATTTAGACAAAACAATGTTATTGCTTCTTATTTTAGAAATTATGTAACGGGGTTTCGTATATATTAATTTTGTTCAACTACTTAAGGGGTTACTGGAGCTTAAATGCATACAACCACTAAAATATCCAAAATCTTTTACAGGTTCTTTAATATGCAATTGTAACTTTGGTGGATTGCAAAGCTCTTTCTACAACACAAGTAACAGCCGGACTTATACATTAACGTACACGTATTTTTTATAAAATAACGCTACTTTTTAAACGATAGCTTTATAATTCGTTTTTATAAAACTATTCTAAAACTCCTATAAAAGTAAAGTGAGAAACATGCATAAAAATGCTTTTCACTCTAAATAGATAAACTTCTCACTCTAAATAGATAGATTTTTATTCGAATCAATCTAAAAGTCAAAAAGCCATTTTTCGATCGGAAGGGATGATCATAAAGAAGCACTTTTGCAAGCAAAATTGGCGTCATTCCTCTGGAGGTGTTGTCTGGTGCTGTTTTAGGAGTGCATAAAAATTAGTAAATTTTTTTTATTGTTATTAAAAACTGAGAGATTTGCAAAAAACTATATTATAAAAGCTTAATCACCTCGTCATTAATTATAGTCCTCTGTATGTGCTCTCGGTTATTCTATAGCGAGTGTAAAAGGAATATTCTCAAAATAAATATAGGGTGATTGACAAAATTAGCGTCATTCCTCTGGAGGTGTTGTTTGGCGTTGTTTTAGGACTAGGGAAAAAATAGTACAAAATTTAACTGTTATTAAAAACTGAGAAATTTTCAAAAAACTATTGAAGAAAAACGGCTACAATTTTTTCAAGGTAATCTGCCTAATTAAGATTACATAAATACCTATTGCTTCGTAATTATTTAAAACTCCGGTAACCATGGATAAATAGAGAGTGACAATAAGATAGACAAGGATAAACGGTAAATTCAACAGGAATAGTTGAATGACGGAACCTATTTCAAAACTCGTAACCTCGAATTATTAATTTGTTTACGAAAAACAAAAACATGCATTTGAGTCTGTAACTCCAAACAAGTGCCTTTGTATCACCTTATAGTATTCGGTTAATTAATTCCTGCTCAATTTATACCGGAGTTCTGAAATCCATTGGTTTAAAGTGATCTTACATACGTGGTGGGAAAGTATCAGTTGTTCTGCAATGTTAGACATAACCCGGAAAAGTTCTTTAAAAAAATTAAACTTTTATTTAATTTCTTTAAAACAATTATGCCGCAAGATTCAGAGAAAAAAACAAGGATTTTAAAAGGCTCACAGTCAACTATGATACCATTTAAAAAATCATGGGTTTATTTTTTATATTCATCTATTTTTTTACAATTTTAACTTTTTTTCTAAGTTAAGACTATAAGGTTTTATTATATTTTTCGACACATGATAGTTTTGTATTCTTTAAAACTAAGTTTGAATTTCGAATACAGATTTTAACGAAATATTCTCAGTGATTCAGAATTGGTGTTAATCTTTCGGATTCGTGACTATTTCGTTAATACGAGCAGAATATAACATGTATATAAACAGGAACCGCCATGCGTCTGAATCTTCGAATCTTAGGTGCAAAAGTGATCCTACTTGACAGTGGACATGGTTTTAAAAAACATTTGAGGTGAAAATCCCAACAAAAGAAAGTTAGAGTATTAGGACAGTGGCTGCCCGAAAGGGGGTGCAATGTGTTCAACACAGCTGCGGCTCACGGGTGCCTAATACGGTGTGTGGGGCTTGCAACAACAGGAGAGCGTCTTCTTCGCTAGGAGGACGGGCCACGGTTTCAGGCGAAATGATTTGCAATCCTCTAGGTTGCTGCAGATAAGAAAGTTACAGAAGGACCAGAGGGATTGATTGATGAAGACCTACTCCGATAGCAACGCTGCCCTCAAGGCACTTTTAGGTGTCAAGATGGGTAGTTGATTGACCCACGACTGCTGGGATGCCCAGAACAAAGTGGCAGAACAAAAACAAGTAAACTTAATGTGGATTCGGGAGCACACGGGGTTCGCGGGAAACAAATGAGCCGATGCATTGGCAAAGCTCGGATCTTTTGAGCCCAAGAACTCCCGAACCTCACATAGGGTTAAGTAAGTGGTAGAGAGCGCGCTAAACCACTGTGTTCTTAGAGGCACCACACAGATATGGAGAAAGGCAGAGGGGTGTCGACAAGCCAAATGGTTGATGTCAAGGGGTCTCTGATTCCTGAGACCTCTGTTTGGGGTTATGGCAGGCCATTATGGTCTGAACAGATACCTACACATAGTAGGAATTGGGGATAGCCCCGCATGTCCATAATGTAGAATGGCGGAGAAAACTGCATATCACCTATTCGGAGTCTGCCATCGCGGATCGTCTATTAGGAGGCGCAGAGTTGGGACCTTCACACTATTTTGCATCGAATTGCCTTCCTTAGAGTTGATATGGATCCTTGCCTGTAACGTGGCGAAAATCAGGAGTGGGAAGGTGGAGATGGATTTTGTGATGGAATGGCAAAAAGGCCCTTTGAGGCCTTCGCGCCGGATTCATCGGGTCCCACACACTAATACTACTTCTACGGTATCAGACTATATTATTATACAGTCTTTACACCATCCGATTCAAGACCTACCCATTAGTATATGAAGTGTCCCATTGACTTTTAAAAGGTCATAATTGGTAATAGAAAATTATAAGGAATAAAATATTGATAAACTACTACATGTTTTGCAAAAAAGTTTATTAAAAGAAATTTAAAGGGTCAGGGGACACTGTACCTGTAAAACAGTTAGGATTTAACAAACATGATAATTTTTTAAACAATTTTTTATTTTTTGGACGTAATCTAATATTACATTTGGAACATAATTTGATTTCTTTCCACACTGCCTACACCTCTTATTTGTATCAGAATAGTCTGGCCAATGATTATTTCCATCGCATCTTACGTCTCCTAAGGGCACGGGAGCTATTCTTTCTCTGGAAGAGGATTTCCCATATGGTATCACAAAATAATTCGCAATGTAACGTCGAAACTTCAACAAACTCACACATTTTTCATTATTTAGATTGTAATTTTTCATAAGAATCCATAAATTTACAACCGAAACATCTAGAAAATAGAAATAAAGTGGCCACCACCATTTTCKTTGGCGCATCCTAGTTTCATCTTCATTTTGTGCATCTTCGGCRCAAATATGTTTCGAGTTATATACAGAAATTAAAACATCAATTTGAGGTTTTGATGACATTGAAGTAACAATTTCTCGTTGACAATATTGACATTTCGAAAAAGTTAATTCCCAAATTTAGCAAATCCTGTTAAATTAACTTTTAACYCGGACCGATTTTATTCTATGTGTTTTTTTAAGGTTATTTGAGCTTCAGGTATTTGAAAAGCAACAATTTTTTACCTAATGTTAATGAGGTAGGTTACTTTGAAAAACATTGTTGCCTACAGAAGATCTAACTTTTTGCAGATMTCTCAGTTTTTTACATATTTTTTTCGTTACTCCCTGAACACCCCCAGAAGAACGACATTGCATACAATTTTAGTCGAAAAGTTCACTATGATTCTATTTTTATTGTTGCCAAATTAACAGTCAAGTTTTTTATAACTTTCATGAATTGGTCTGCATTAATATATTTATTGTTTTAGTGCAACTCATATAAAATTTAAGCGGTGTTAGCCCTGGAGATCACGCTGACCATTTAACCAGCGCCTTGTTGGTAAAAAATTATTGGCCATTTGACAAATATCCCGTACTCAAATTAGAGTTATAAATACATTTGAATGTAGCATGGAGCGGTTAAAGTTCCCTCGTAAAATCTCGAACCCACAGTTAATGATGCAATACAACACATTAATGCAGAATCGCATCTGCGGATGATAGGGATCAGTTAGAAATAAATTTGTTCTGCTGCAATAATGGTGGTTTTTTTTATTAAAAATTCTTTCTGACTTAATCATAGCTACTTGGCTTTTTATATTACCTGAAAATTGTTTAACGATTTTTTGGGTAGAATTAAGTTCTGAAGTCATCGACCAGATAAACATCTTCCTTGAATATAAATATACGTAGCTTTAAAAAACATTTAAAGTTGTGTACTCTATTCCCCTTAATAAAACACTGTTGCGTACGTTTGAACACTGAACACCCGCAAAATCTCGATCTGGTTATGCACATTAACAATAGCAAAATATGTTTAAGTCATGCAAAGATTATAACTACATCTACACGAATGCTGTTATTAAATTTAAGCGTATTAACATTTTTGCAAAATACTTGAATCTGAAAATAATTGAAAGTGTCGATCTGTTTGTTTGGCCCGTCGAAAAAGAAAGTATGATGCATAGTCTTGTCTAATGTGTAGGCTTAGATAGATTATTGTAGACATCCTAACTTTTAGTTTCACACGTTCCATCGCATTTGAGCCAATTTTCTTTCCTGTTGCATGATACCTTTGTGAACGGTATGATTTATTAAGTTCAAGTGCTTACGGCAAAACGTATCGTGTGCGAAATTGTTCAGGAAAGAATGAACGAGAATGAGAAAATGACTAATAAAAAGGTAACAATTGGTTTGGTTGAAATCGATTTCAACACACGTTGGTGTTTCACAAAGCTATTTTGTAAGCGAAAAGTATCGTCTTTTGAACATCGACGGCGTTTGAAAAACGGAGCTCGAAAAACGGACTTTCGCCCTCGTATCGAACAATATTTTTTATTCGAATAAAGAACATAACACGGATAATAAGTTATAATAAATAAAAATAGGCTAAAATAAAAGCCGTCAACTTCATATTTAAAATTTGACATCAATGTCATTTTTTAAATTATCATGTTTTGACGTTTATAATTTTTTAAAAGCGTACTTTTTTAAGCATGTGCTAGTGAAACAATGAGTGTTGAAAATTCAAGTGCTGCTGTCACGGTATGGTGTTTGTATAAGATGCATATTTTGCATAAAATGTACGATCTTTAAAAAATCCTGTTTTGCTTGAGGCAACAACGGCGAGCGCAAAAAATAGACCATTTGAACGACTTTGAGACTGAACTTGTAACAAATTTATAACTTACAAATTGTAAGTAAACTTTAAATTATGATCAATAGTTGTCTAGAAACGTACGTAATTCGATTCGTCGAATCTGTTCATAAGCAGGCATAATATGCGCCAGTGATCGCTTTGCCCTTTTCAGGGCAATCGATGTGAATGACACCCCGTGCACCCCAAAAAAACGGTGGCCATGACCTTTCGATTGTTCTTTGCTCTCTGGTGTGTTGTGATGATCCAGGTTTCGTCAACGCTTACCAAACGTGGCAAAAATTAATTCGGCTTCCGACGTAACATCGCTAAACATTAAGTAATTTGAAATGGTCAAATGGTCACATCGGAGCTTATGGTCGAATGTCAGCAATCGCGGCACCCATCGTGCGGATAGCTTTTTCATATCCAAATATTCATGTAAAATGTGATGTACCATCTCAGTTGAGATGCCTTCAGCCTCATCCACCTCACGCACTTTTATTCTCCGATCGTGCAGTATCGTTCATGGATTTTATAGACCATTTCTGACGTAACAACCTCCTTTGGACGACCTGAACGTTCTACATCATTTTTGCTGGTACAAGCACAACAAACATAGTAAACCATTTCTTAACCATTGAAATTGATTGTGGAAAGTCCCTAGTATTTATCAAGCCTTTCCTTCGTTTCTTTGATGGTTCTTTCACGTAAAAAATAATGCTTGATTAGAAGTTGGAATTAAGTTTTTTGTTTTTGTCGAAATTGACGAAGTCAGCTCCTTTCAATGACTGTGAAACACGAATTAAATGACGTAGCGTGGTCAACATTTCCCAGCAGTCTACTAACAGACGACAGTTGACGCGAGAAGTGATGAATAAAGTTACTGCGCAGGAAATTCAAAAAGTCGCTGTCTTATCAAACGATTCTCGTATTGTCGCTTAGAAACACTTCTACTTATCATTGAAACATACCTACTGTTTTTGGTGTTGATCGAAGTTGGATAATAGATGGACCAGAAGAGGCAACGATGGACTGATAAATTGACCACCAATATCATCTGATTTAAAACCTTATTTTTTTTTTCTGTAGGGCTTTCTTAAATCAAAGATATATATATATATATAGCCAGTCAACATTACGAACATTTGTAAAAATAATTAAGTCAGTTGAATTATTCAGAATTAATAGCGTTATTTTTTATATTTTCACTGTTTTGGTTACATTAGCAAGTGTTGATTCAAAAATGAGTGAAAACGAAAAAGGCGTTTTGAAATTATTTGGAAAAAACGATATAAATTTTGAGAACTTTGGGGCCCTGCAGCGGAAAAACGAAGCGATTTTGAATATATAATACGCTATAACTTTGGTCGCACGTCATCAATTGTCGGTCCATGTTGTTGCCATACCCGCGATAAATTCTGTATATAAACATAAATACTCGAAGCATTCTTAACTTATCTCGAAGTTGTCTCGCTTTTGCTGATTATTCTTGATCGAATTATGGTTTATTTGAAAAGCACAAATATACCGTTAATACAAAAGTCATGGACAAGTACATGACAAATGCAACAAGCAAACGTATGTGCTACTAAAAAATCTTCGATAAGTCTACGATCGATTCGGCAGCATTGTAATTTTGACCAACTTAATGATTTTAAAGATGAACATAAATAATCAACATTGCTTTAAATTAGGTAGTATTCTAAAGTTCTTTCGCATTTTATGATTGCTCGAGGTTCTCCAATGCGCAAAGCACAACAAAAAATATTTAACTGATCACACAAATTTTATGCGTAATTTTTTTCATGTTGGTAGTCAAATTTCGTCACTGATGACGTGCCACCAAAGTTATAGCGTACAGACTATAGGTAAGTATGCCTAGATGGTCTTATTTTCGGGTAAGGAATTTGTGGCTAAGCGCTGTACAGTCATAGCAAGGACACCCTATATACAATATAATACATGATATATGTTTTTTAGACGATAATGTTGTACGGAACTTAGAATACATGAACGGAAGATTTGACATCCTACACATTTATTGGCGCATCATTCTTTAATGATGTCACAAGCATTTTCGTACGTTAGTTTCCTTTGTTAAAACGTCAGTATTTCTCAGACGTTGCCACAATTTCTCGTATATAAAGTGGAGTATGGCAGGCCTCATCGCCAATTTAGGATGTGTTTCCAAAATAAAACAACCTACGTGTATATGTTATTCTATGAATTCACTAAACATTATGCGACCAAATTATGCGTTAGAAGGCAATCCGTTGCTTCCGATAGGTTCTTACCTTAATAACCTTGGGTTATAGAAGGAATAAAGGTCTAGGTCGCATGGCATAATTACTCCAATCGATCATTTCAATAAACAAAGTAATTTGAAATATACAGTCAGTTAAGTAATTTAAACTATGTCCCATTTTTTGCGACGAATGCAAGAGTTTTTCTTGAATATATTACTCTCTGAAAATGCAATCACAACTTTGGAATTAAATTCCTTTTAAGTAGTTCAATGGTCATTTGACTAGCGGAATTGCTAGATATTACAATACTTGCTTGGACTTTTCCATCCGAATTTAGTAGTAAACACTAGGTTTATTATATTAAAGTAGAAGTGCGTTCAACGTTAATTCGCTTAGAGCTAGTAGCCATCAGGTATCATGTTGCATTATTGTGAAATAGAGTTTTTTGGCGAGTTTTAGTAGCTAAAGACATTGTAATAATAGTTGCCAAAGATTAGTAACATGACGTGTTTTTTTGTTTCAGGTGAGCAAGTTATAGATACATCAAACTTACCAAAATTGCAGGTAAGTCGTAACCGTGCTTGAAATTGCCGAAAAATGTCAAATTGGACGGCCTTCCGGGTTTATAAAATGTTAGCCTGAAACATGGAAAAACGGTAATACATTTCCGGCATATTTTGTTTTTATGCCGAGCAGTCGAACATCTTCAAAATAATCAGACACCGACGTAAATAAAACATCCGGAAACCCTACATGGACTTATATTTTTGCAAATAATTCGAAAACGAAGACATGTTATAATTTAAATAGAAATATTTTTCACTTACCAATTTAGTTAAAACTTTAAACTTACTTTACATTTGTCACACTAACGTTTTAAGCGTTTCAAGAAAATAATAGTTCAACAGATCTAAAGCAAAAAAATTGATAATTAATGTATTACAGCGCCACCTGTCAAAATC